GCATGATTAAGGGTGAAAATACAATCAATATGGACCGAAGGATATGATAGTATAGTTATATATGGAGCAAGTAAACATTTTTTAAATTGCAAACTACAACCACATTTTCACATTGTAACGACCCGACTTGTCGTTTTGTGAATTAGCATCTCGTTCAGCGACTTAAGGTCCCGAGGAGCTTTGTGATGTGTATTATGACTTGCGTGTGTGGTCGAGTTTGATTTTCGGACGATTCAGGATCAAATTGGAAGAACAATTCTTATTTAAGAAGTTTAAAAGAAAAGAGTTGACTGGAGAGTTGACTTTTGAGCAAACGACTCCGAAATAGAATTTCGATGGTTCCAATAGCTCCGTATGATTATTTTGGACTTAGGAGTGTATCTGGATATTTATTTGGAAGTCTATAATTGATTTTCGCTTGAAATGGCGAAAGTTGGAATTGGAAGGTTTGGAAGTTTGACCGGGTCTTGACTTTGGTGATATCGGGGGTCGGAATGTGATTCCGAGAGTTGGATTAGTTTCGTTATGTCATTTGGAACTTGCATGCAAAAATTTGACGTCATTCTGGGTTAATTTGATATGTTTCGGCACGAGTTTTGGAAGTTGGAAGATTAGTAAATTTATGAGTTTGATTTGTGGTGTGATTCGTAGTTTCGGCATTGTTTGATATAGTTTGAGGCCTCGAGCAGGTCCGCATTATGTTTTAGGACTTGTTGGTATGTTTGGTTGAGATCCCGAGTAGTTCGGGTGTGTTTCAGGGTGAGTTTTGAGCGAGTCTGGCCATTTCGGCACTCTGATATTGTTCTGGAACTTTGGAAGTGCGGGGGGAACATTTTGGAGTGCTGAGGCAGAGGAAAAGTGCGGACCGCAGAGGAATTATGCAGACCGCAGAATTGAGATTTCTGCAGATTCGGTAGTCCGATTTCGGAAACTTATATCTTTTGATCTATAAGGAATTTGGAGACGATCCAAAAAAGAAAGTTGTAGCTCTTTGAGTCTAGTTTCTAGAAAGGTAAGCCAATCATCATTTGTACATTTGTACCAAAAGTTATGGTCAATTTACTGAAACATGGTAGTGCAGTGACTGCTGAAGTGCGGCCGCACAATTTGGATTGCGGCTTCAGAGACCTTAAATGTGCGGACCGCACAAAAGAATGTGCGGTCAGCACTTTGGAAGTCAGATTGTGGTACCATATAAATGAGGTTTTCATCTTATTTTTTATTTTCGAATTTTTGGAGTTCAGTTTGTGGTGATTTTTTGTGGGATTTTCAAGAAAAACATCGGGGTAAGTGATTCTAACTCGGATTTGGTTAATATACATGAATATATCATTGTTTTCATCATTTAATTAGTATTTTGAGATGAAAATTGGGGAAAAATTGTAGAAATTTCATAAAAACAAAAATTTAAGATTTGGAGGTCGATTAGTTATCGGAATTTGGTAAATTTGGTATGGTTGAACTCGTATCGGAATGGATATTCGAATTTCGTAAAAATTCTGTCGGGTTCCGAGAAGCGGGCCCCGCGTTGACTTTTTAATGTAAAATTTTAAGTTGACGTTTTATTATCCGCAATTATTTTCGTTGAATTTTAAGGAAGTTATATAATTTATTTGACTAGGTTTGAGCCGTCCGGAGGTCATTTCACGCAAGAAGCCTATTTTGGAATATCGGCATAACTTCAAAAATGTAAGTATCTTGCCTAACCTTGAGTGGAGAAAATTACCTCTTAGGCATTGAGTCTTATGTGAAAATTTTGTAATTGAAAACCATGTACGCGAGGTGACGAGTACGTACTTAGTTTATATGTGCAAATTACATTAGTTGAAATTCGTAGATGCCCATTGGGAAATTTTTGGAATATAGTACATCCTTTATTTGTCATGTCTAAATCCTTGTTTGTGAAATTTGCTTTTATATGATAATTTGGTGTGATTGCCATTTTGATTTTTATGTGAATCCCGTATTTTTGTTAAGTTGATATTTCCTGGAGATAATTTCATTATGGATTAAACCATTTATAAATAATTTATTAAATAAATTTAAAAAGGAGGTATTAATCTATTTGCCAAAATTTTGGATTAAAAAAGGCGTTGTTTCTTGATGAATTACTTTTCAGTTTATGTTGTTGAAATTGGTATTGAGTTATAAAGGCCGTAAATCATATTGAGCCAAAGTGTTAAATTATAAAATATTATTTTGTTGAGCTGTTCACTCCCGGATATTTTGTTAAGATTTTGTGCACATTATGGTCGAGCCATGAGCTCCTTATTGTGGAAAATAATGTATTGTTGATTTCTGTGGCAAGTTGTGATATTTGAGCACTTGATGTGCAATTTGTGATATGTTGTAATATTTGAGCACTTGATATTCAATTTTTGATATGTTGTAATAATTGAGCACTTGAGGTGCAATTTGTGATATGTTTTGATATTTGAGCACTAGATGTACAAATTTATAATATGTTATGATATTTGAGCACTCCGCCGATGTTAGTCTTGATACTTACTGGGTACCGACTGTGGTGTACTCATACTACACTTCTGTATATTTTTGTGCAGAGTCAGGTATTGGAGATATCGGATTCGGACAGAGATTAGAGTGTGATCGCAAGGATTCAAGGTAAAACTGTTTGGTCGTCGCAGTCCCTTGGAGTCTTTCCATTTTTATTGTAATGTCTACTCTTATTCGAATAGTATTGTATATTCGATCCTTGGGATCACTACATATACTCAATTAGAATTTGTGACTCGGTGTTACCAGTCTTGAGAGGTTTTTATATTTGTTTCCGCTTTTGGTTTCGACACTTGTATTAAATTATATGTTTCAAAAAAAAATGGCTCGAAATGTAATTGTAATCGATTTACTTAGTCTTAAAGACTAAGTACACGACGTCTGTGGTGGGATTTTTGGGTCGTGACACACATATTGGTAAAACGTGAACCCCAAGTTTCAAGGATCTAGAGAGAAATTTTCTTTTTGCAAGGTAAATGATGTCTGATTCCCAACATTGATCGAAAAGAAAAAAAAAATTGGCTGTTCCTGTAATTTATGTGGTCCAATTCGACATTTTGATCATTTTCCTAGTCATAAATAGCCCCCAAGTAGAGGCCATAACTTTAAATTTGTGGTCTCTACTGCTCAAACTAGGGTTTTATTGGTCCATATATGATCAAACCACCACTGAAAGTTACAAGATTATATTCGTTTGACATATTCAATACGTTTTCTTATCCAATGTTTAATCATTCGGTATCCGAAATTTATATATGTGGACCGGCATTCAAATTCGCATCAGACAGAACTACGTTTGGTTAAGGGCGGAGAGATCCCAACCATCCCATTACCTACATTTTTTGGTGTTAATTTTAGTATGTTTTCTTGTTTCTTACGTATGTTTTCTTGTTTCTTACATAGACTGATGTGCCAGTTAATGTCCATAGATTAACACTTCGTTGGAGTTCACATCGTTTGGATCAAAGTGCCGGACTTACCAAAATCACCATCAACTTTTAGGTGGTGTTTTGAATTTTGCTTTGTTTACATTTTGGAAAATAATTGGTTTTATTATTGTTTTGGAGAAGTCGTGTGATTGGAATAGGTTTTTCAGAATGAGTTTTTGTAGAATATTTGGGTTAGAATTTTTGTGAAAACTTAACTTTTAAGTAGCTTTGGTTTCTAAAAACATTTTGGTTTAATTTGCAGAAACCAAATCTTTATTAGGTTTGAAATTCCCAATATTTACAGCTTAATTCAAGTCATGAACGTAAAAGATCATAAGAAAAAGTTTATTAATCTATATTAGGTGGGGTGGGGGAATCTATATTAGGTTTATAAAGTCTCCTTTTAAACTCCCTGCAAAATGTTTTATATTAAAACTAAGTAATTCTCGTTAATCCCTTTAATTTTTTTAGTATGAAAAAAACAATATTCATTTCGTTTTGAATGGGAAATAAACTTGCTAATCTAAATTTTTAACAGGCACTAAAAGATACTCATTGTCGAAATTGTCAAAAACTTAAAATACACCTAAATTTTCAAGCCAAATTTATTGAAGCTAAAAGGGAATGGAGTAAAATAATTAGCTTCCTTTGAATTACAAAATTACTTTATACAATCCTATAAGAATTGGAAATCCATGCTTCAATTGTTATTTTAGCTTTCTTTTGGAAATCTTTCATTACATTTCTTTATAAATGATTTCCTTAATTTTCATTACAAAGTTCTGATTATGACTAAAAGTTTCCTTTTTAAGGGTGTTTCTTGTATTATTTCAATCATGAAATTAACTAAAACATTTGTGTGTCAAATACATTTTGAAATTTTATGTCTTTCCTGAACGTTTACTGCTCCAATAATTCAAAATATCGCACGTAAAATATCTTTTAAATAAAAATTTACAACAGATAAAACAGAAACAATTTTAAGTAAAAGAAAATAATTATGAAGAACTTAAATATTTGAAACTACCAGAAATTGTTAGCTCAAATAGTTTTCCTTTTTCCATTTGAGAGTAGTTTGACAACTCAAAAACGTCAAAGGATTATCTAAATTTTTCTCTAAATTTCTTATAAAAACCCGAATGAAAGAGGGAAATCTGGTTATATTTCATTGACAATTCTTTTCTTAAAAGGAAGATCTTATCTTTAACTTATTTTAGTAATCTTGAATGTGGCAATGAATTTTTTCCACTTAAATGTAAATTAATGCACCAAAATAGGAAGGAAATAAGACCAAAGTTAGTATATTTCTTTTTCATGTGATGTTCGTTACCCACTTTAGGATCTGACTAGTGCATTTCATTCCCAAAACTTGTATTAATCAGAAGTTATAGTTCATTTTCTTATTTTAAAAGGAGAAGACTTTTCTTAAACAAATTTTTAGTAATCTTCAACGTGGCATTAAATTTATTTTCCTCAAAAGTAAATTAATTCACTAAAATAGAAGAAAAGAAAACGTAAAAAGAAAAAGAAGAACTCCTATATAACTAGAGTCTACTACATGCACTCTCCTCAAGTCCTCAGTATCATATTCATCACCCTCCCTTTTTTCTCTCTCTGCCATTTGATTCCGAACTAACTTTCATAATCCCTCTTCAGATAACACCTAATCCTAAGTAAATCCCATTTTATCCACGCTTAATTCCAAATTCTTCAAACAAAGATCACTTCTTTTTCCAATATAAGCACAAAAAGTGATCTTTTTGTGTTCTCTTGCTCTGGTTTTATAGTATTTTTGGATCACTTTGATTTTTTTTCTTGTCAAAAATTGATCTTTTTGGTACTTTCTTGATTTGGGTCTTTAGTATTTTTGATTGAAAAGCAAAAAAAAAAAATGGTTGTGAAAATGATGAAGTGGAGGCCATGGCCACCACTATCATCCAAGAAAATTGAGGCTAAGATTATTGTTAATTGTCTTAAAGGTTTCAACTTTATGTCAAATGAGCAAATGGGGTTCCAAGATTTTGAAAAATTAAGAGTTGAAATTAAGTGGAAAGGCTCAAAGGGTAGTTCTTTGAATTTGAGCTCTCTTACAAGGAGGGGTAGTGTAAAGAAGAATTTTACAAAGGAAGAGTCTTTAAAGGAAAATGGTGGTGTTGAATGGAATGAGGAGTTTCAGAGTGTTTGTAACTTTTCAGCTAATAAAGATGGTGTGTTTCATCCTTGGGAGGTTGCTTTTACTGTGTTCAATGTGAGTTTATTTCTTTTATCTCTGATCCTTTTAGTCTTTTGGGTTTTTGGCTGTTATATTCTTATGCAATAAGAATGCTGAATCCAACTCTAGGGAATTTCATTACCTCCCCTATTATTGAAATTATATGTTTTTGTCTTTTTCTGTGATATAGCTATTGAAACTGTATGTTATCAGAAAATTACTGAATTGGATCAAATATCTTGACTATATAGTAGCTGGAACTTGACTTTTGTTGAGAACTAGTTTGTGCTTTTGTTGTCTTAAATTAAGCACAGGGTGAGCCTTTCTTGCGATGTTAGGTCTACCCGTCCCCTTTTAACAGAAGAAAGGCTCACCCGGTACCTATCTTAAGGCAAAAAAGATGATATGGGTTGAGCTTAAATGGAGAACTAAGGATTCATATAGCCGACCGAGGCGTAGTTGTTGTTGTTGGTGAATCTTTCTTGATTTTTGTACTGTGTTATGAATCCTGATAATGTCATACAACTTGTTTGGGGTGAATATTTCTTGAATTTCCTCAAATTAGGATACTTTTTGTTTTCTTTAATTGGTTAATCGATGCTCGGTTTTGATTATTTGGTCACGGTGATTCAGTATATTTCAGCAGCATCTGTATGAGCCTCTTCAGAGGATATGTTAAACAAGAGTTGCTTGATAAAGTTCATCATCAGTATGGTTTTTACCGAGTTTTATTACTCCTAGTAACTTAGTGGGTTAAAGTGAGTTTTAACATCTCCGGTTTGATATATTGCTGTCTAAAAAATTAGTGAAGATACTATTCCTGACATGCATTAAGAGTCAAAAGTTTAAGCTTTCTGGAATGTAATGATTGTCTTTAATGGATCCACTTTTTGAGCTTGTGGGGGTCATTTGTATTGATGTAATATGGATGGTGAGACCTACTATATTCATCATATTTTTCTTTTTGAAAAACAAAAAAGAAAAATCCATACTACTGGCATAGTCTGTTATTAATTAAAAAAATTAGCATTGATTAAGAGTTTTCTTGAGCCGATGGTCTTTCGAAAACAACTCTACTCCCTCGGATAGGGGTAAGGTCTGCTTACACATTACCCTCCCCAGACCCCCACTAGTGGGATTTTAATGGGTAGTTGTTGTAGCATTGATTAAGAACCTTGGAGTATATGCCGTTTCAATTTCCATAGTTGTTCTCTTTATGCATCCAACAATAGGAGGTGTTATTGGTCGGTTGCAAGGATATTCTTATGGCTAATTGTTTCGCGGGCACGGCGTTGGCCTTTGTTGCATGTTTCTTTCACTGTTTCGAGACCTATCTTGTTTTTCATAATCGTATCTTCCAATCTATTGGTGTATTACTAATCCTTTATTTTCAGTTTGTGCTTTCATCTACACTAATTTTTCAAGTTCTCCGCCTTGTCTTCGTGTTCATATACTTATTCATACTTCTACTAAATCAGGGTACAAGCAGAGAACCAGATCAAAAGGTAACCATACTTGCTGCGGCGTCATTGAACCTTGCAGACTTTGCTTCAGTAGCTGGGGATAAAGAAGACGGCATTGAAATTGCAATTCCTTTGGAAGCCTCTATTGGCAGCTTCAAAAGTTTCCTTTCACTCTGTGTAAGAGAAACTAGAACATACCTTTTGCTTGCTCTCCTCTATTCCTGCAACCACGTGAATATATTATTTAATCAGTATCTTTCATAGCTACTTGTTAATATATATCTGCAGCTGTTTCATCTAAAGCCATGTTCATATATTTGACAGCTATCTCTCAGCCTTGTGGAATTGAGGAACGGTTACGAAGCTTCAGAGACCATTCCGAAGTTTATCATGTCTGCTCCAGTATCTCCAAACCCTGGAGAGGTTTTGTTGACAGACAGAAATGAGGTTTCTGCTTTAAAAGCAGGTCTGCGGAAAGTTAAATTTTTCAAGGGATTATCAGTTAGGCGACACAAGAAGGCATGTCATGAAGAGGAAGGGAGTGATGGAAGGAACTCAGTCAGAAGTGAGGACCCCGATTATGTCTACCTACTCGACACGGATTCACTTGATGATTCAGAAGAAGGAGAATCAGAGGAAGGAAATGAGGATACAAGTGTGCGGAAGTCATTCAGTTATGAAACACTTGCCTATGCAAACCATGCTAGTGGATCATTTTACTCAAACACAAGCAGCAGCGAAGACGAGGATTTCATCCATCGTAACAATCATATTTCAGATGCAGGGCACGGGTACCCTGCGGATACAACTGCAGCACTACAAAATCAAACTGCTGAGCAGAGTTCAAAACGCAGAATTCTCCCCTGGAGGAAGAGGAAGTTGAGTTTCAGATCTCCTAAAACCAAGGGAGAGCCGTTGCTGAAGAAACATTATGGAGAGGATGGTGGGGACGATATAGACTTTGATCGCAGACAGCTTTGCCCATCTGATGAGTCTTCTTCAGGGGTATGTGCCCATTCTTCTTGATTTCTTTATCATGTTTGATTATCCCAGTATCCAAATGCAATTTGTGTAGTGTCATTTATTGTCTTTATTTCATGATCTGATCAATATGCTATTACACTTGTTCACCAATGTGCCTGTCGAATTGAAGATTGCAGAGCTTGATAGCTTTCTTTTGTAGCTACTGTTCTTGTAAAGTTGTATCAAGTGTCTTACTGATGCGTGTAATTCTTGCAGTGGTGCAAATCCGAGAAAGGTTCTGCAAATCAATTTTCAGTCTCCGAATTTGGAGACGACAGTTTTGCTGTGGGTAGTTGGGAGCAGAAAGAGATAATAAGCCGAGATGGACAAATGAAGCTGCAGACTCAGATCTTCTTTGCTTCGATTGATCAACGAAGTGAACGAGCTGAAGGTGAAAGTGCTTGTACAGCGTTGGTTGCTGTGATTGCTGATTGGTTCCACTCCAATCCTAAAGATATGCCGATCAAGTCCCAACTTGATTGTCTTATCCGTGAAGGTTCACTGCAGTGGAGAGATCTTTGTGAAAAAGAGACCTACAAGGAACGTTTCCCAGATAAGCATTTTGACCTCGAGACAGTCCTCCAGGATAAAGTGCGTCCACTCTCAGTAGTCTCAGAAAAATCATTCGTTGGGTTCTTTCATCCAGAAGGAACCGAAGAAGAGGAGGAATTTGACTTTCTTCACGGTGCCATGTCTTTTGACAACATTTGGGATGAGATTTCTAAATCTGCTCAAGAAACTCCTTCTCATGGAGAGTCCTTTGTTTACATTGTGAGTTGGAATGACCACTTCTTTATCCTAAAGGTTGAAAAAGACGCATACTATATCATTGACACACTTGGCGAGAGGCTTTTTGAGTGTTGTAATCAGGCTTATATCCTCAAATTCGACAAAGACACAACAATTTCTCAAGTACCTAGTGAGACTCAACAATCAGATGATAAACCATCTAGCAATAAAAAGGAGCAAAGTGATATGAAAGAAGCTGCCAATGAGGGCAAAATGGTCATTAGCACCAATGGCACCGACGGATTGCAAGAAGAATCAACCATCGTCAACAGGGACATGGTACCTGAAAACAAAGAAGAATCCAGCATTGTTTACAGAGGTAAAGAATCATGTAAAGAGTACATAAAGAGTTTTTTGGCGGCAATCCCTATTAGGGAGTTACAAGTTAATGTGAAGAAGGGATTGATGGCATCTACGCCCCTTCATCAGCGGCTACAAGTTGAATTCCATTATACAATGAGCTTTGACCATAAGTTTGAGTCTTCTTCAGAAGAACTGACTGCTAACAGTTTGGCCATACTACCATCAGCAGCAGAGTAAGCGACGAGACGACTAATAAAGCCTTACAAGTAATATTACATAATGCTAATCCCTTTTGTTTTCTACATATCATTAGGAATTTTGAAAAGCTAATTGTTGTTATAGTGTTCCCTAGAGGGTGTCTGTCGTTGTTTATCTTTTTTCTTCCTATGCATGGGAACGATAATGTGAATAACTATGAAACTGCTCAAGAGTACGCCTTTCTGTTCTGTCGAGGAGGGAAAGTTGGCATAAATGAATATATGAATTCCATACTGCTCTTGAGTTTTGTCTGTTTTAGTTTATTTTTATTTAAGAAGTATCACATTGGTTGAAGGTTCTTGCCTTGGATTTCAGCCTGTGATCCACTTGAGGCTAAATCGTACTTGCACGAAAATGGTGTAAATGTATGAACAGCCACAGAGACAGGAATCTAAACAACAATAACTTGATGTTTCTGGTTCTATATTCAATTGTTGGGGGTAGAGCTCTTTCCCAAGAAAATGCCTATTGATGAAACACAGAAGCAAAGTGATAGTTTATCCGGGTAGAATAGGTCTCATATTTTTTGGGTGTGAAGTGATTGATATGGCATGCCACTCAGGGGCAGAGCTAGAAGCCGAGATATAGATTCGGCCGAACGCAGTAGCTTTTGCTCAAACAGTATATTTGTTGTTTTAAAATTCAGAATCTACAAAGTTGAAGTCCTGGCTTTGCCTCTTATGCAAAAAATTTAACCGCGTATACTTCTCCCGGTGAGTTTCATGGGTGGTCATCCAAGTATTAGTCTATTGGTAGAAAGTCACTATTCTTTATTTTGAAAGGGTTGGTGTGGCCACAGCTACAACTACTGGCGCTTCAAATTAGATTCTAAGGGCGCTACTGAAAGCCTTTTTTTAGGTCCTGTAATAGGGAGGTGTAAGCCTCGAAAGCCTTTGGTACTTCGGTAGGGTCGGACGGCTTTCTTTGCCCCAGCTTGGCGAATCGCATCCCCGCACAACGACATTCTTTGTTTGTGCGCCCCTTACCGTTCTCGCTCAGTCTTTCAACGGCTGGGAAGGCAGTCGTAGAAACGAAGCCTATCGCCACGCCGACCATCAAATACGAGATTGGGCCCCTTCTCAAAGATTTGATGGAATGGCCCACCCCACCCAAGAGCGCTTATGTCATAGGGGAACTCATGGCTGGAAACAATCCTTATGGTTTGTTTTGATATCCGGTAGGAATAATAAAAAAAAAGTCCAGGTTGGTTGGTGAGCCTAGTGATAGGAGACTATCTAGCTTGGTTCGGAGAGCACTTGTTGGGTTAAATATTTATTTGTTGCTAAATGTTACGGCCTAAATGCTGAACTATTGACCCTACTTGTTCGGATGGGTGTTCACCCCAAAGTGTTCCCGGACCGCATGCATACATCCGTAAGTAACTTAGTGCAACATGGAAAATTTCATTGAGAGGAATCAGCAAAGAAAAGAAAAACGGGTCAACAACATCAACATGTGTATNGGGTAGGGTCGGACGACTTTCTTTGCCCCAGCTTGGCGAATCGCATCCCCGCACAACGACATTCTTTGTTTGTGCGCCCCTTACCGTTCTCGCTCAGTCTTTCAACGGCCGGGAAGGCAATCGTAGAAACGAAGCCTATCGCCACGCCGACCATCAAATACGAGATTGGGCCCCTTCTCAAAGATTTGATGGGATGGCCCACCCCACCCAAGAGCGCTTATGCCATAGGGGAACTCGTGGCCGGAAACAATCCTTATGGTTTGTTTTGATATCCGGTAGGAATAATAAAATAAAAGTCTAGGTTGGCTGGTGAGCCTAGTGATAGGAGACTATCTAGCTTGGTTCGGAGAGCTCTTGTTGGGTTAAATAATTATTTGTTGCTAAATATTACAATGCAATTATTTGTAGAATATAGGTTACTATTGTAAAATTATGTAAATAGCTCAAAAAAATATAAATATAATTATATAAAATGAAGTAAAAATATTTTAAAACATGTATGTGGGTGTGGAATAATTTATAATTCATCCCCTCATATTGATTGCATAGAGAGTAAGCTGTGGGGATATGAATATTCTCAGCTCTTGATTATAGGTCTGGTGTCATATTGGTTATTTCTCATTATGAATGTTTTGGGTTGTTAGGCAATAGTTATGGCTGCAGATTAATTTGACATAGATTCTAGGGTCATTTTCTGTGATCGCATAGGTTCTTACCTATTTTTTCAAACTTTCATGTATTTGTCTCCGTGGGATATTCTTGGTTAATTTCATAAGGGATTTTTACCTAATCAAGTTTTAACTTAATTATATGTACATATACAATTTATCAATTAAATACAAATTAGTTTTAAATGAGTATCCTTTTATATTAGGAATTGAATAGGAATCTTCATCCCTATGCTTTTTTTCTCTCTCTCTCCGTCTGTCTCTCTTTCTCTCTCTCCGTCTCTCTCTTTCTCTGTTCTTTCCCCAATTCTCTTCCTTCATTTTTCTCTGCTTTTCATCCTTTTTTTCCCAAGGAAGTTCATCAATGAATTTCAATTGTTATAATATAGAGTTTTAACCCTTTCATGTTGCACAATTGGTATTCGAATTGAAATTGTCAATCAATAAGTTTTGAAGGTGTTTGATTCTCCACCATTGACAATCATTAAAAAGCTTTAAAACTTTGAATTCAAATTTGGGTTGTCAAAAATTAATGTTTGTTTGGATTGGGTATTGTTGAAAACAATTGGAAATATTCTTTGGAGTTTATATCTTTGGTGAAGAGTAGACTTGATTTTGACTGAATTTCAGATTTAAACTCGAAGAAGGAGATGATATACAATATACTTACGAAATTATATTAAAGTTGTATGTAAATTGTATTCTGTTGTAGTTATATATATATTTTTTATTTGAATGTTGTATGTAAGCTGAAAAATAGTTGTATAATGTATAAGTCGTTGTATGAAATTTATATTTAAGTTATAAATACTATCTTTTTATATAAAGTTGTTGATATGTATCAAAATTGCATTAAGAGAGGAAGTTTTAAATGGAATTTCAGAGAGGAAGAACACACCACTTACAAAATATATACAAATCATATACAAAATACAGACAAAAAATATATTGTATAAATTTGTATGAAAATTATATTTAAGTTGTATGATGTTGTAGTTGTAATAACTGATATTTTAGTCGAGAAAACAGTGTGCACGAAATTTAACCTTCTCTCTCTGCGCTTCCTACCCAACGGTCACAACNCTCTTTATTAAATCTTAGTTGACTGTAAGCCCCCCACTCACGCACATTGTTTCCTCTGCCCCTTTCCCCTTTCTCTTCGTTTCCTTTTTGTGCTTCTTTGCTATGGCTGGGGCTTCACCACTGGTAACGCCCCCCTTTGTTTGGCTCCGTGGTGTTTTGCATATTTTTCAGGTTAGGGTCGGTGGCTATTGGCAGCGAGCAGGGCGTGCGTGTGCAAACAGTGAAGAGCAGCCCGGACAAGTGTCAGCAAGAGGCGGCGGGAGACGGACGTGAACGCGCCTAGGTCGCCGTAACACCGTCGTGAATACCGAGACAATTCCCAGGTTCTACTTGCGGGAGTTGGTACCTCCGGTTTTCCTGTTTCCCTTCATTATGTTAGTTAAATCGTTGTCATCTTAGTTTATATTAGTTTAATCGTCGTATTAATGTGCCTGTAGTTGCATCTTGTCTTCTTCTAGTTTGGTTTGTTGCAGAGTATGTGTTAGTGATTTCCCTTAGTTTGCTGTAGGTGTAGTGGTTGTGGTCAGGGATGGTCGAGTGAGGTCATGTCCTCGAGGCAAGCGGGGGTTGGGG